TGACATTAAGCCACGTTATCGCAAATTTTGTATGAAATTTTCTGCATATTACTCGTGTTGAACGCGTTACTTTTTTGTCATAATAAATGTTTATTAACGTCAATTCAAGAGCAAAGTACTGTAATTGAAATTGAGTTAATAAGGACACTATACGTTGGCTCCACTTGTAATCTCCGTTATAAATTGCCGTTGCCATTAACTAGTAACAGGTGCTATAAATAAAAATCTTTATTATTTATGGAGGCAACGTAGAGCTTCTAATTCTTCATCAAGCTCAAATTATTTGTAATAAATTACCATCATACTCTAAATGCATAGGCGGCACGTTAAGCTATTTCACACCATGTCACTATAATAGGCTTTTGATTATATCAAATGATGAATGGAAAATATATTACCTATGTATTAGTTAGAGAATGGAATAAATCTTTTTTGACCCATTTAAACACTGATTAGAGTACAATAGATTTAAAAGATACAACATAAAAGGCTTTTTAGTATTATCTTGCCTAGTTGTTTACCTTGCTTAGGTAAAAAGTTTCAAGTATTAAAACATTATAATAGAAAGATAGAGAGGAAAAAAACCGGTCAAATGCGAGTCGGACTTGACACTGGGGATGCCGTTCCACTTGTGGTTATTTAAGTACTACAGTAATAATGGTGGGAATGAAATCTCGAAAGTAATAATGATGGGAATCTCGAATATTATTGCTGCATTTTTATAGTTTCTTTACTTGTGCACCATGGTATTATTTTTTTCCAAATTTCGTGATTATAGGTCAACTGGAAAGACTTACTCGGGTTAGTATACTATCATCATGGGCGTAGTAAGGAGAAGGAGAAAGGGGCAGTCACTGTACACCCTAGAAGCTCACTTTAACCATTTACGAGAGAAGAATTTTTATTCGGAGGATGCGAGTTCGAGTCCGCCTGCTGCATGGCCGCGTGGATTTTTTTCTAATTAAATTTACATTAGATCAGTGAGTTTAAGAGTAATTAATAGCCGATCAACTTATGTTTTAGAAAATATCTTACCTAATAAAAAATCCTTAGAAAAAAACATCAAAAGAAATGTAGTAATTGCTTGTTCATAATGCGTAAGATCTTGCATTGAAAAACAAAACGGGCAACTACGAAACCCTACACTGGGCGTGCCTAGGCCGGTTTTTTTATAATTGGTTAATAAAATCAATGAGGAAAATGGAAAAAGTCTAAATTATTAACTGGTTAAGAAAAAGTGAACAAAAATTCTTCTTTTGTAGAGGGTTAAGAAAAATGGTTAAGAAAATGGACCAAAGGGGAACTTCTCTATCCACCCTGAAATTCTAGCGTTTAAAAATGACTATACGTTTAAAAATTAAAATCCAAAAAGAATATTAGTTCACTAGGAAGTTCCCTAAGAGAAATCCTATCCTAAGAGAAATAGCTAGCCAATTTACAAGAATCTCTTTAAGAAAGATCTTTGGATATGTAAACCTAGAGTCCCCTCAATTCAAGTTTTAGTGTTTATGATGGCTGATTCCCTGTTCGTGACGATTCTCCTGGGGATATCATAGATTGAACAAGAAAGAGCACGTGTAAACAGACCGGAGCGGCCAGTCGACAAAATCACTTACGGTATTCTATGTGATAAGGGTCGGCTGTTGATTTAATAATGTAATCCAACCGCGTCGGAACTCTGCGCCGATATAATTGAACAAGTTTTTGACCACTCGCCTACGGTCACAATTGTTCCTACTTACCTACTCAAAATTTAGTTATTACGGGGCAAATATTGATTTTGCCACCAGAACCAGTATAAATGTTTTATCTTCTATCTATATAGTAACCTATATATAGAATCCCCATTACTCTTGGATTTACCTTGACATTTATACGACTTTACCGATTTAATTTATCCTTTTTTAAAGTTTTCTAATATACATTGCAGAATGTTCTTACTAAAAAAAAATACGAAGATATTTCAAAATTTTAAGAAAACTGATCTTACAATTTTACCCAATAGATGACGCTGCAGTCGGGTTTTTGGACTTTTTTTATATTTTTATTGAGCAGCACAAAGTCTATGGAGTCTGAAAGTTACAAAGGCTATGTTAGTGGTGACAATATTACGGAGCCTTTTTGTTTCGTAGCTCAAGTAGTTTGTAGAAATTAATATTGAAAACAGGTAGAAAAATAATCTACCAGTCCCTTTTAGGATTGAAATAGAAATTGCGTGTTCAATCCTCAATGAAAAAAAATTGAATAATTGAGGATTGAACACGCAATTTTTATTTCAATCCTAAAGGGGACTGGTAGATTCGAACAGATAGGAAAACATAAATGATACATAGATATGTATCATTTATGTTTTCCTATCTGTTAGCCTAACATCCCATAACACAAACCTTAGTTCTTATTTTGAAGCTAGGAATTAGTATCTTTCAAAAATCCATCTCATTTTTCGGTAATATTACCGTCGTTATATGACGACATAGACGTAGTTTATACGTTTCCCTTCCTCCTCGTTATTTTTCATATTAGTTACTCATACAAACTTTCAATCCCTTTATCAGCGCTTTCTATTTAATTTTTCACCACCAAATCAAAAGCCTGCCTGGAATCTATCGTCATTGCATATATAATAATTGATAAAATATGGTTCATCTGGCATTGTAGGTGAGTTTATTCGATTGCGAAGGTATGGTGAATGGCCAAAAATATATTAATTATTATATCGAACTCCACTGTGTGATAAGAAAAGCAAATAAAGCCATTGGACATGGTGGGTCACTGCTTTTGATATCTATGGCCACAGCCCATTCTCCCTATTCCATCTAGGTATAGGAAATAATAAAGTACAACCCTTTTATAACGAAAAAGGAGAAACGAAAAGTGTTAAAAAATAAAATAAAAATGAATATGAGTATAGTAATACGATCGGACCAAATCGATATCTGTTCACAAAATTAAGTTGCTGCAGTTACAGCTATGTCTGTTGTTAAGTACCCCAATGTTGACTAAATTACGGGGCTCCCACTGGCACAGCTAGTTTGCCATTCAACAACCGCTTTCATACACGCATTCATTGCGGTGATACGCAATACATCAAGAAAATATAGTTTTCGAAATCATCGGACTAAGGAAATCCTTCGAGATAATCATATCAGATCAGTCAGATTATTATGGGTCAGGACGAATAAAAGCACTGTGTATATACTCGAGTAAGACAACACTGCAATTTCAAATTGTCAGTTTTTTAAATGAGAGCATTTTTCAGGTTCACATAATGCCAGCCATACACACTACGAGAAATCGTTACGATCAGACTGTACAGCTCGAACGGAACAGTTTATCGTACGTGGCGTACGTATAGAAAACTGTGCAGTTTTATAACATACACGCTACGATTTATCGGTACCGTTCGAACTGTACAGTCTGATCGTAACGATTTCTCGTAGTGTGTATGGCTGGTATAACACACGGAGTTACCGCGGCCTATAAATGTCTGACGTACTCGATTTTTTTCTCCTTATTTCTATCCTTCCGTAGGGCCTTCCATCATATAAACTGACAGATTGGCATTCCTAATTGTCAATTTCGGTAGCTTTGGCTTATCAGAGACACGTGGGGCATATTGTTACTAGATTTACGTAAATTTATTACCGATATCTTTTTTTAATTTAGAAATGCAAAATGAGTCGTTAACCATAGGTGAGTTCTGCATTTCATTTACTCTGAAGTGGCGCACTTTACTACATCATTGATCTCCTGCTCGACTAAAATTATATCTCAATGCCTTCCAGACCAGAGTAACCTAGTAAGATGGGGGAAAGCCTCTGAAAAATCGTGCTTTACTTGTGGTGAGGCAATAGGTACTGATAGGCACATATTGGTTGGCTGAAAGGTGCTTCTTGATAGGGGTCAATACTCACGTCGCCATGATAGAGTAGCACCGCTGCCGAGCGGCGAATAGCAAATAGCGGGCAGTCTGCCGCCATCGTCTTTACGTTACGCAGCGGTCACGCACGCACTCTGTGCTCCGCCAGAGCCGTCGTATACGCATTACGTGGAGTACTCGACCAATCTATCAGTGTACCATAGTCTTAAGTTCTAAACTAATACTTGGTTATGATAACTTATACACGAGTTTTATCAACTTTTAACACTTAATTGCGAGTTAAATATTTAAATATCTAATTAAACACAATTAATTTGTATGAAGCCACTTGTTATCGCAAGTGCGGGTGGATAGTGTGGATAAAAGTAACTATAAGTTTACTGGAATAAATAATAATTATAATAGCTGCTCATTTCTAAAATTTGACAAGGTTACAAGCATATTTAAATAATACATTTAAACAGTTAATTTATTTAACTACAAGTTTAAGAGTACAAGATATGATAAATAATAAGTGTTATACAATGTGTTTCAAAACTCGCCTGTACTTTAGTGCAGCAAAGTCAATAATTAAATTTTCGTAAACCAATTTCTTAATAAAAATCAGCTTCTATGTTAAAAAGCAAAGCAAGATCGTTAAATCTTTGGTCCATCATTGTTGTCGTTAATATTTTTTAACTCGTAGTAAACAAGAAAACGATCGTTTTCCAGAAGAGTTACTGGCGGGAGTACAAACACACATACAAGGGGCAATATCCACGTTTGGGTAAATGCATTGAAGACCTTCAGTTCGTAACCATTTCAACAAACTGACAGCATTGTTCAGATCTTCATTTTTTATAGTGCAGTGAGCACGAAAATGGAAAAAAAAACTGGAAAACCATCTTCAATGTCAGTAGAATAAATTATTTGCAATGCCTTTCATTGATTTCGGACGCGCTTAATTTTGTCAGATTAGGGTGTCGATTGGGGCTGCCCCTAAATCTAGCCGCCCTAGGTCCGGACCTACCAGGCCTTAGGGTTATTCCGCCACTGATCCCGCTTCAACTGTTATTTTCTGCCATGCGTTAAAAGCTCATAATGGCCTCTGATAGGGCTTTAAAAAAAACAAAATCGTCAACTAAATAAATTGTATTCACATAAATTAACACAACTATAGTGACAACAACTACAAATTAAACTTTTTGTACTAAAATTTGTAGATTTTATTAATGGTTATATTGCATCTTATTAAATTGCATCTAAATTACAATGTAAACATTTGCCAATAACTATAAAAATGACTTAAAATTCAGTCATTGTGCTACTGCAATTTATATACACTGAACCCTAATTGTTCAACTGCAACTCTATCACGACACTGGAAGGTTTCGTTTAGACATTTGAAAGATATTTTAAAACTTCAATCACTAGATTGTCAATGAAAAATGGATTGAAGTGCGTAATTATATCTATTGATCATTGAACCGTGTCGCAATGGTATTTAAAGTTAGACAATTAGGGCGTAAGTTGGCAAGATCGCCTTCATTGTTTTGATCCCTAAGCAAGTCATTTTAAGCTCACTAATGAGCGTTGTTAAGCAGAAAGCGAGATTTTTTGAAATTTTTTTCTACGAAGCCATGTCAAAGTTTGACTTTGTTTGATTCCAAAAAAATATCAATGGCACTTTCTGCTTTCACAATTATACTTTAACATTAGTCCACAGAATTCATTTTTGCTAGCTTCGAAAATGTCCGCTCCGGCCGACCTCAAATCGAAATTACCATGAACATATTTCTAATAGTATGCAATACATCTACTAATATTAGATTAATGATCATGTCTACTTTTTAACAAAATATAATTGCTTAGGAGATTATTATTGCAAAAACTGTGTCAAGAAAAACTATAGAAACAAGCGGAGACAACACATTTAGCAGCATCGAAGTCTTTAGTGAAGGCAGTGTCAGCAGAAATAAAGAGCAAGTTATTTAGTTATGACTTATTATTATTATGGCAAGTTATGTACTTCATTAAAAAAAACATTGGCAATCTCACTTACAGAATCCAATACTGTACAGCGAACAAATCTGGTCAAGTTTTCTACATCAATTGTAGGTTTTATATCGAGCAGGATAAAGCACAAAATATGTTGGAGAAATTAGAAAGTTTTGCAAAACTTCACCTAGTTGCACACTGTACAATAAAAGGATTTTACATAAAGGTGGGTCCTTAATGTTCAACAAATTATCTTTAGCAAAATGTAACTCGGCAAATAACGGTTTACAACGTACCATTTAATTGCAATGTTTATTTTACCAACCAGAAAAAAACATATATATAAGATACAGAAAAAAACATATATATAAGATACTGCTATTTACCACTTCATATTTCAACCTTGAAAATTAAGTTTTGATTAGTTGCAGCATAAAACTGGGCAATAAAATAATAGACCGAATTGAAATGCTCAAAATGCTTTACAGAATATAATCTTGTCACTAAAAATGCAAAACCCAAATCTAGAATAAAATATTGAATGTTTATATAAACGTAATTCATAAGAATATTAAAAATTATTTGTCAAGTGACACTTAACCTCACTACGTACCTATTGAACTTTATTTATTGCAAGCAATATTATTAATTCAGTGCTATATTATAAGCACGAATTCCGTAACGTATCGTCGTCGTCAAATTATGTATGGTAAAAGCTAGTCATCAGAAATCAATATATCTTTATTCAATGTATAGTACAACTCTTTTGAATTTTCCAAAATTTTTTTCCCTACCACTCGTTATATGACATATTTTTTAGCTGCGGAAAAAACCAGCTAAAAAAGCTCCACAACATTGAAAGTCTAATATAACAACATTTACAAATCACTATGTTGTTACAACGTCAATACAATTATGATTTATTTAATATAGAAAACCTGTTGGAATGATTGGAATAGTTCAAACCCAAGCATTTTTGTCTGTAATATAATCAGACACTTTGTAATAAGCTTTTTTAATAAGTGCTTTTTTTATAATATCTTTAAATTTATTAATGATTAACTCTTGGATATTGCTTGGGACTTTATTGTATAAACGAACACAAAGACCTTTAAATGAATTATTAATTTTGTGAAGCCTAGTAGCAGGTAAAGTTGGTTTATTTTTGTTTCTTATATTAAGTGTGTGAACATCACTGTTTTTAAGAAACAAATTAATATTTTTTCTTACAAGTAATAAATTTCCGTATATGTATTGTGATACGACCGTCATTATTCCAAATTCTTTAAACTTATCTCTTAACAACGATTCTTTAACTTTAATATTATAAATTGATCGAATAGCTCTCTTCTACAGCACAAAAATAGTTTTTTCTTTCGTCCGATAGGTACGTTGCTTGGTTTTCATAGAAACTTTGACGATACGATATGTTACGGAGCTGTCAAAAATTCGTGCTTAGGCCACTGAAAGCCTTATTTGCACGTTCATATCTCATTATGCCTCAAACAGTATATAATAAGTATGATATCACTCTTAATGATATAAAAACAAAATCGGTGTAACAATTATAATTAATAGGAGTGCCGATTGATAATATAATTTTAATTCATCGAAGAGGTTTCTACGTAAATTCGCTGTTTCATGCCAGTACTTGGCTATTCGTCTTTGCTATTTGTAAACTTGACATCAGTCTGTCCTTTTCATGAACTACTGTTGTCAAGTTTACAAATAGCCAACACGAACAGCCAAATGAAGTGCTGGCATTATAGTAACATACGAATGTTTACAAGGTGCACCACCTTGCCATATTTTTATAACTCCATTATTTTTATTATATGCAATTCGTGAAAAGTAGACGGTTCAAAGTATGGAGGCTGGTAGTCAGTTTTCAGAAGACTCTAATTTTGTGACACTTGGGGCACTTAATTTTAAATAGTTTGGCAAAATACTAGAATTTGTTTAATACCCGTTTTTTTTTAAAATAATTTTTATAATATAAATAAATATTTCCAACACTCAAACCAATTAGCCTAGCGCCAAAGTAAGCACTGTAAGGCTAGATATTTAAATATAAGTATATATATAATTATTTATTGGCAAATGGCAAGTTTATTTATCTATTTTTCGTTGCCAAAGTATCAAATGTATTCTATTCAATTGGTAACTAAAGTAGTGATAATGATTCTGTTCATCTTTTATGACATTGTGAGGTATTTTCTGGGTATTCCTATTTCAAGAAGAATCAATCAGATATTGCTATAAACACGATTTCACGAATATTATGCATGAATAGACTTGTTGACATTTCCATAGTGATTGAGTAGACGTTTTAAGTTGCCACACACTAAAAATATGACTGTAATTATGACAGGATGGCCAGCATCCCAACAAAATTTTACAATTTTTGGAACACGATTTAAAATTAATCGAAGATAAAAAAAAAACTGTTTATGTTATAATATAAAACAAGCTTTCAAATGATTTATGTATCGTCGCTGTCGGAAACCGACTACCACTTTTGAACCATCTCCTTTTCATGCAATTCATTACCTATTTTACGTATAATTCGTCAAGATTATTACTATAACATTTTAGCAGTAGTGTTTAAAGCTAAATGAACCAATAAATTTATTAAACATAACTTTTTGTCATAGATGCATTGGTGGGAACATATTGTCTACATTACTTTGTAATAGGAAATATTTGCGTTTAATCAGTTTTAATATTTCAAATTCAATTCTAGTCTTTCTCGATGTATTTCAAAACATTTCGTAACAAGTATTCCAGAATGTATATAATATAGGTACTCAAACATCAACAAATTTTTAAATAAAGACATTTTTCTTTGGTGTTGATTGATTAGATTTAATTAAATCCAATAACTGCATTAACCATAAATAATATTTAATTTAAAAGTTATTAAAGTTTTACAAAACAACAAACATTAACTATTAGGGATAATTAATTCCAAGGAGCAAAATTAGTACTTAAAACGATCTCAAGATTATTTTTATTTTCACTTATAAGAAAAGAAACTTGTATCATACCACAAAGCTGGATTTGAGCGCAGTTATAGGAGCGTTTATTTTTAGAACTTTCTTAAATTCAACTTATAAAATGTTACTAACCTCTATAATATAATTCTGTACGTGATTGTATTGTAACAGCTTCAGGCAGGATAACTCGCCGCCGTTTTAAAACAATTTAGGGTTCGTTAACTAATAAAGTGATTGATCAAGCAGCTAATACGATTTACTTTCCTTATAGTGGTCTTTTATTAAGTACTATTGGATTTAAAAGAAGCTTGAGCGAGATTGTAAACTGCGCAAACTTATAGTGATCTCGGCTAAATTTGCTTATAATAAGTACTATTGGATTTAAAAGAAGCTTGAGCGAGATTGTAAACTGCGCAAACTTATAGTGATCTCGGCTAAATTTGCAATGATATCTTTTATACTTTTTTATCGTAGAACGCTCTAATTAGTAATATTAGATTTTAAAGAAGCTCGAGCAAGATTGTAAATAGTGCAAACTATAGTGATTCCAGGTAAGTATGTTATGATATCTTGTTCTCTCACGACATGCTACTATAGGACCAAAAGGATTCAGGTTTATTTACTCTTACTGCGATCAATTATAGGAGACCTATTCCTAAAAGTGTCGTAAATATAATCTTGTAGTCAACTATAAGACTGATATATTAAATCAAATGCTTCTGAGGATAACTACGCCCGTGAAATGCTATTACTAGTAAAAGTAGACTGACCTATGTTTTGTAGGTCAGTCTTGCCTTTAAAGGACCGTTATTGATGGACTTATATTCTTACCTTATAAGATTACTTTTATTGTTGGGATTTTTATTGTCTTCGTAACTGAGCAAGACATTGAGCTAAAATTAAAATAACACACAGCCTAACTCTGGCATTGGTGTCGATTCTGGCATGATTCTCCAAACTTAAAATAAATTAAACATCAGTCTCTCGTTTTCATTCTGTATAAAGAATGACAAGGATACACTTTGTCAAATTTAAGTTAATATTTAGAGAATTCTGCCAGCATCGACGCCATTATGTTTCTTAATTTATAATAACTAAATTTGACAGCAATTCTCTCCAATTCACTCTTTTGAGAGCATGTAAAGTACCTGTATACCGGTTTTGTTGTTTGATGCCGGCACTTCACACGTCTTTGTGTTGTCATTTGTAAACTTGACGACAGTATCTTCTTTTCATTCCCTATAGGACAGGATAAGGACATACTGCTCTCAAAATTAAAAATAGCACATACAATTAGGGTTAGAGAAATTTGCCAAAATTAGGCCCAATTATATCATTGCTGTTAGTTTATTTAGGCTTCCTTTTTACAATATTAAAATAAGGAATACCGAATATTATTCGGTATTGTACTTATACAAAATTCTAATAATGTGTGCCTAATTTATAATAGCAATAAGAGTGGTCAACAAACAAAAGTTTATACATATTTATATATATAAATTAAACAAAAGTACTGAAGAGGCTTGCAAGGTAAATTGATCATGGAAGACAATGCTATATTTTGATATACAAGCAATTTTTTCTACATGTAATTGTAAATACGATTTTTCCATTAATCAATGTAGGTACACTCGCGGAAAGACCCGCTCTGTCACCCATAATGCCATAATCGCTTGCGGTAGCGGCGTAGTAAAATCATTCATAGACATGTAATTATCGCTGTCTTACTTTTTCGTATAGCGCTGTCGCGATCAAGATGCGGATGACAAATTGCAACTAAAACAAATGCAATTCAATTCATTATTCAATCAATGAAATGTTCTCTGTCTTACTTTTGTGCGGCGGCCCGGATTGGCGCGTCCGACGCGAAGGCGGGGCGTAGTAAAAACTACTGTAGAAAACCGTTCAAAGCATTTTGTTTGCCAAGTGACAGAGCGCAAAATTAAGCGATAGTACAGTCCTAGAATATCAGCTAATTACATTGTGTTACTAATTACATACAGACAATATACTTAACATAACACCTTCCTTAAAAACCATTTATCACACTAATATTATAAAGGCGAAAGTTTGTGAGTGTGTAACATACACGCTACACGTTACTTCTTCACGTCTAAACGGTTGTAGCGATATTAATAAAATTTGATATGGAGATAGCTGCCACCCTGGATTAACACATAGACTACGTTTAAGTGCGGGAAAATATCCCTAATAAACCGCGGGTAACACCGCGGGGCACAGCTAGTATTTAATATTATTCAACGTGGTTATTAAAAAACAATACAGCAGAAACACTATAGTCAAGAATATAAACAGGCTGGAACTGCAAATTTGACTCTTATTGCAATGAAACATTACCCACACCAATCTCGTAATTAATGCACCAAAGTCGCCTGGTGTATAAAACTACTTATAGAACATAGAATTAATGAAATGATGAAAAGAACTCAACTTTTCACCTTTTTTCTTTGTGAACAGTAAAAGTATTTACACCAATCTTGCTTTTGAAAAATTATTATAAATAATGCAAGTACATTCATTGTCTTTGAAAGGGTAAAAGGTATAAAAATCTTACAAAAATAAAACTCAATTTAACAACAGTTATAGTAAATTTTAAAATACGCAACCAAAATGTTTTAAAGCTCGATTTTCCTAGGAATGCAATTATTAGGCATCATTCACTAATTCGATTATAGTATCGTAGTCTTTGCATTAAAACTGCTAAAATTTAAACTTATAAAATGAATTTGCCGTTTAGTGATAAATCTTAAAGAAACGATAAAAAATAATACATCGACAAGTTCATTATGATTTAAAATCTATTACTTTAATATTTATAAATTGTCGAGTTGTATTCATTATCTGATTCAATAATCATTGGTAATCAACTGGTTTATTTTGAACAGAATATGGACTTCTATTTAATCATATAAGTACATAAATAGTATATTTATTACTATGCCTACCATTACACCCTCTACATTACTCAAAAACTAGAACTATTAAAATCGTATTGTACTACAAAATCACCAAACAAAAGTATTTATCTATTTAATGTTAATTATATGAATTCATAAGTGATGTAAGGCGCCTTAAATCAGATCTCGTTTTTAATTTCATTTAAGGACTTTGTGTAAGTGGGCCTAAGCGTATTAATTAATATAGCTTCTATTCCGTTAGTGAAATTTCACCTGTGCATATGAGAAATTATTTTATCAAAAGAAGAGAGACGCCTTGGATATATTTTATAGAAATGGATATATCTTAAATAAAAACTTCTCTGTCGCGATGTCAGTAAGAAGATTATTGCAACAATAGAAAACAACATCAACAGCTTATATCTTAGAATATATAACCCTAATGGTCCGTTTCAATAATCAAGCTCCAATAAAAACTGTTTCCCCAATTAAGCTGTAATATTGATTATTGAAACAGGCCGTAAAAAATATAAGGCATTACAATTTTCCTATATTAGCAAAAGCCTTATTTCCAAAATCTTACGTACTGAATAGGTATTTTATGTACTGGTATAATTTAATACAATAATGTAGTTACAATTCGGTTAAGCTCTAGCACGATATGATATAGTAAACGACACATCTATACATATTTAATAAGAAGCCTTTAACATTCGCCCTTATCAATCGTTTAAAACATTTAATTGGATTGGTTGGGGTGTAATTACAGTTCTTTTACATCGAGTTGTTCTTATTGATGTGTAACATCTTTGCTCTCGCTTTTCCGCAATTTGTGGGAGTGATTTCGTGAAATGGGATGGAAGTATGCAACAGGAAGTCGCGAAAGCGCGCGCGAAAGCCATTTAATTTAATCAAATAGATTTGATTTTAGAATATAATGTTCAAATGGCTTATTCCTTTTGTAGTAGGTTTTTTTTTTTATAATATAAGGTGAGGTTTTAAATGTTACACATCATACGCGACTACTATAAGGCTCGCTCGTTTTTTAGTGAGATACTTTTCTTTTTATTTCAATAACTATTGCACCAATTAGTGATCATACATAGTGCAAAGTACAGATTATTTGCAGCTTTTTATATAACAATAAAAATAAGGTAGGTACCTTGTGAAATTACTACCACTAATAGCTGCATCTAATAACCAACCTTTTTAACACTGTTACATAGTTAACCATGCCCATCTTATATGCGATAATATAATAAGTAACTATTAAACTTATATTAACCACGAATGCTATGAATGGGCCCTTATTTTTTCCATGTTTTATACAAAGAACCAAGCAGTTTACATGTTATATCATTTGTAAATATACATATATACATACAGCTTATATGTAACTATTGAAATAGGTAAGTATTGATTTAACAACCCCTTTAATACTTTAAATACAACCCCAATTATGCAGAATTATATTTACTATTTGGTAGATGAGATGTGTTTTTTTTTGTAAATAATACTGTTATCATTTGTGACATTGTCTAATTTCCAGACAGGTTAATTTTCTATATTTATATAAATATATTGTAGGTACAATGAATATATTTGCCGATAAATATAATAAGATATCTTAAATATGAATCTTAATCGTATTAGGCTATTGTCATGTTGAATTTCATACTCCTTAACCTTATAATATTAAGGCTCACTTTCACCAAAATTCTTAATTTAAATTTAAAAGCTAATCATATTTAAGCCTCATTCTATCTTTATTTAACTTTCAATAAATGGCAAAGATAGAATGATGTTTTAAACACGATTAAGCCATAGAATAAAAAAAATTGGTGCAAGTGGACCTCATTTTTCTAAGCAATTTTGATTTATATCATTCCTGTGTAGAATAACGTATATATTTTATAGATAACAGGATAGTGATGTTATCTTATCAGCTATTAAATAAGTACCAAGAACCGTATATTGGAAAAAACACATGAAAAATAACACCAGCGAAATAAAAAATATTTCTAACCTTTAAGGTGTAAAAAAATATTAAAAATGACATTTTTACACAAAGACACCTTCCAATAATATGTGACGAAAGATCAAATCAAAACTTGTATCACAACGTCAATATGAAACAGACCCTTATTTTTTTTAAAATAGAGTTCATTATCGTTCAAAAACTTAGACAACGTCTTTCTTTCTTCCATTGGCCGGTGACCCCGGAAGGTAGGTCTTTAGTCAGTCGAAGGTCAGGTCGTTTGAGAAGTGCCTTGATAACTTGGCAACGTCCAATCCAGTGAAGTCGGTAAATATGTCAGAGTTAGCGTTGGAAGGCTTAGAACGGCCCGGTGAAGAACTGGTTGATGCTTGGTCGCAAGGATCTACGGTTACCAGGCTATCCTCTTTACTGCTAACTTCGAACGGCTCCGATATACCTAAACAAATATATAATAATATCAACAAACAGTTTTTTAATAGTACATTAAAATCGACTTGAAATAGACCTGTAGGGCTTTGTAAATTTGTTACGGAAGATGGCGTGACGAATAGTACTTATTTTTTTTTATTAATTTTATTTTGAAATTTTGTTATTAAGAAGAAACAGATATATATGATAGAGCCTTTTGATCGGTACAGTAAAATTACAGGTAATTTTTTTGACGTTTAAGAAAGTAAGATTCTTGTTTTAGTGGGCCTACACGCTAACTGCTTTTGACAGATGGAACAGTGGACAAACAATGGACAGTGATAATCACCGAGCTATTCAGTGATCCACTACGGCATTATTATAACGCCACTAAGATACTTGTTCTGAAAAGCATCGATGGATATGCATTTTTCTCTTTAGTTACATACTGTATATATCAAAAAAGTTATCGTTCAGTAAAGTTTTATATCTACAGTACTTATAGTAGTTTCCCTCCAAGTGGCAAAGTCTTGGGATGCCCAGATTTATAGTCTGGACGGTAAATGCTGTTTAATATCGCGACTACATAAAAGGTATTTTCGTTATTAATTTTACCATCATCAGCATCAGTGACGAATACTGCCTAAGCGCTAAAAGAGGTCTACATACGTTCAATAGAAAAATTTACAAAAAGTGGCTGAATCGAACTTACCCAAGACACTTCTGACGTCACTATTCGGTTGACTGAAGTAAATGAACCGATAGAATCCAGGCGTTCTCACTCCGCTGCCGACTGGGAAACGGAGCGTTATGGTCCTAGGCTGGCCCGGGGCAGAAGGCGCGTGAGGCAAACTAACTTTGGCAAGATACTCGTACGCGATGTAATCGTCCAGATTGTAGAAGTTAGCCTAGCAAACAAAAAGATATGGTGTTTTAAATTTTCATGGTCACTAACATTATAACTTAACTAGGGATGAAACGATACTGGTAAATACAAGTAACTACTCGATACTTTTCTTTTGATACCAAGTACTTTTGGCATCGATACTTTAGAACCGATAACAAGTAGTATCGTGAAGTAAGTACTTGTGTCGGTACTCGGTCGGTCAATCACTGAGAAGGTAAGGTGTCTTGTTGGAATTTTTGTTTCGCGAACGCATTTTTTCTACTGGTCAGTTGGTAGCCTTGCGTATGATTTATATTTATTCCAATTTAATTGACTGAATAAATTAAATTGACTGAATAGTCATTCGTACATCGCGTGGCGTGAACCTATATTTTTTGTTTTCGTTAAATTAAAACTAGGACTGAATTTGTAATTGTGATATCGTTCGTCAAAATGTATCGATACAAGTATCGATACTTTTCCTTCGATACCGAGTAGGTATCGATACAGCATTGAGTAAAAGTATCGATAACTAGATGGTATCGTTTCACCCCTATACTTAACTGATATTGGTAAGAATGTCACCAGTGGTGGGGGTGTCGAGCGCAATAAAAGACGACGTCAGAGGGAGACCGATATGTCTGCTAATAAAATCTACCCGCACTTACTTCAGCTACTTCGATCTTATCAATTGGTGAATCTTCTCTTAAAGCTTCCTTCACCTTAAACCTAAAACCATTCTCAGACAGACGCTTCAATGAAGATTTTCTGAAATGGCGGACGCCAAATGGCAGCACTGAGCGGACAGGTTTACTCATCCTTCAAAATATATAGGTATTATCGTCATTGTCTATAAACCATTTTAAATCTTGCTTGATAAATTCACGCCTTAATCATCTTACAAAAGACATTCTCTACAGTGGTGCCAACTGGTGTCATGAATTTTCCTAAAAACCCTCATTGCGGAAAATATGCAGTGCACTATAAACACATTACTAAATGGAAATGTATTTCGTAAATGTTATTATTGCTCACATCGTATATTCCGATCCAGTCGTTGGGATGAACTTCGACATCGGGCGACAAAGTACACTGTGTCCTGAAGTCCGCATCACCTATATACCATATCCGGCTGATAGGTGCGAACTCCACTATCTTCTCCGTGTAGTTCGAGAACGCCTGGAACAATAAAGATTGATTTGATTATCTATCTGGTAAAATAATAACTTTTAACCTATTTCTCTTGTATACCCTAAAAAAATATTTTATCTATAAGGACGTAAAATTGTCAAGCATCTTGTAAAACAAATATATACGCGCTTGGTGACCCTTTTAAAATATTTTATTAAATATATCTGAACTTTTCAAAAACTAATTATGTACCGTACCTTCATGACGGACCTACTAACGAAATTGATAAGCAACTATCGTCAAGGTCGTACATTGGAGGAATCATCAGAGAGTTTGTTTTTCAACATTCACGAATATCTCCGTGCCATTAGCACGAACCAATGTCGAATTCGATCTCAATACGCGTCAAATGTCAAGAAGTTTTGTATGGAAGACGTCCGTTGTGGCGCTGCTCAAATTTCCATACAAAACTTCTTGAAATTTAACGCATATCGAGATCGAATTCAACTACTTATTTGATGTCGTTATTGGTTCTCGCTAAGGGTTACAGTACTTCAAGGGGCACGTAAGACCATTGCTTCGACTCAGTTATTATTAAGATTCTATTCTGTAGAATCTTGCAGAGTCTTGCAGCGAGTGAGGATTACCTGTGTAGTCCTCACTCGCTGCAAGACTACAGAATATAAATACTTGACTAGTCTTCAAGCGGAATACCTAAAACAGCCCTAATTTTCAATTGCGTGCAGTAACTTATTGCTCCTAAGTTGTTATACTAGACATTGAGAATCATGCAAAACCAGTTCCAAAATAATTAATTAAAATAAACATACATATTACTTATTACTAGCTGCATGCAAAAGAACAATAAAACCGCAATCATGTGTTATACTTAAGTTATCGTCGAGAACCGATAAATTAAAGAGATAGCGAAATAAAAGTCAAAGGATTATTGAACGCTCTTATAAATCTTATTTATATAGTATTGACACTATCAGTTTGACCGCTTTAGTTTTTAATGTGATATACAATGTAGGTATCATCTTAAAAACTAAAGACTGAATAAGTAAGTGACCATTCTACATTGTGCTATGCTGCGCTGTAATATGCTCATGTTAGAAATAGAATATAGCCACTATCTTTTGTTTCCTTATTATAATTATTATCTGAGAAGAGCGACTGGACTAAACAGAGTATTGTATACCACAGCATATCTTGATGTTCATTGGTCACCCTAAGCCAGTAGCTAGCTTTTTAGCATTTTTTTCGATACCATTTTCTTGAAAGAGTCAAAGTGAAGATATTTATGTCGTCGCGCGATCGTTAAAATTCGGCCGAATTCGTCGTCAAAATGTAGGGACGTAATGAAGCAGTTATAATGATCTAAAAAACAACATATAAATGTTCAGATCTCTGAAATGTGGTGAAAATTTAATAGAAGTTTTTTACCATGGTTATTGGTCGTCAAATAAATTGTTAAAGCGAGCGAAACAAGTATTCGCGGCAGAGCATCGGGCGATGACATACCTTTAAGTGCATATATTTTTATGGTACACTATATACAGTGTTTGTTACCTGTGTCTCCTCTCCGCTTTGACCGTTTCCGGTCGAATAGTCCGTAGCATCGACCCCTATCACGTTACTGCCTTGGTCGTCAATGGCTACGAACGGCATGCTGCATGCTGTAATTTCCTCCGTCGCTTCCGTCATGACTATTGCCGAACGCATCCTTATCCCGGACCTAGCGCGGGGCGGAGCTTCCTCTACTACCGAGCGTGTGAAACCGTGCCGGATCTACCATGCGATTAATTGTGCAAATAAGCTTAAACTAATCTACATATAAGTCTATATCTACGAGTTAGAGGCGTGAGTACATTCCGGTGGAAAAGAGTGTGCCCCGAAAACAAATTGAATGCGATATACTGGATACCAATCTAAAGTGCAACTCTATTACAGTACCTACCCTTAGCACGAACCAACACCGAATTTTGAATGGCAGAATTCGATCTCGATACGCGTCAATTGTCAAAAAGTTTTGTCTAATTTCTAATTATCGTTACGTCCATTGTGGTGCTGTTCAAATTTCCATACAAAATATCTTGGCATTTAACGCGTATAGAGTTCGAATTCAACTATTCGAATTCGATATTAGTTCATGCTAATGATACAGAAGAGTTGCAGTTTAGATTGATATCCGGAAACAGTTGTGACAAATACCCGTTTCTTAGCAATAATAAATCATAACTTGCATCCGATTGCGACCGAATATTGCGCTGATAGTGACGCTAAACTCTAAAGTAAAACAACATCAAAATACACACAAGTATGTCATATCAGAATTCTCTCTAATATAGAAACGAATCAGAAATGGCGACACAAGTTTTTCATTATTACTTAATACATAGCTTTACTCCACATCTCTGTAGACATGATATTGACAGAGCATCAAAGGTAACACCGATGGCAGATGAATACGCATAAACATAAATAATCATACTCAGAGCAACAACTGATTGATGATGTGCTGTAAAGTTTAGCGTCGATTGTGGTTTTAATAATACCCGGTAACCTTATAAGCAGGTAATCATTACTACTTATCTTTACAGATGTATGAATGAACTTTGTAAAGCAAACAAGCAGATCGAGTACTGATTCCAAAACTGGTTGTTGTGTAAGGAATAACATCTTCTTACAAAAATCGATAGTGAAAAATATCCATTAAGTGTCGCAGCTCGCAGCCAAGGTCAAATGTCGATTAACCACGTTATCGTTACTCAAACACAGCTCAGTTAATACTCTTTTCTATCGAAATACATATTAAATTAAAAAATACAAAATATTTACAGAAATGAAAACATTGGAAACAGCCTTGATTTTGAACGCAATTCTGCAGTATACTTAATGAGACTTAACGAAATCACTAACTACGAACATCAACTAAGGTAGAATCCATGTCGGTATTGTACTTACTGAAATGGTTTCGAAATTTATACTAAAGACGTTTGGATTTTTCGGTTAGTAATTATAAATCAGTAGACAAGTCAAACGGCCCAAATTTTCATTAATTCCAATACAATAAACATTGTAATTCCAAAAAGAGCAAGCTCAAAGTACATTGACGTCAATACCACGTTACGCAAAGAAAATAATGTTAAACAAAAACTGTCTGCCATGTGAGTACCGAAATAAAGAAGATACAAAACATCTTCATTATTAAGGTAACGTCTTACAAGACTACAACCGGTTTCTCGTCTAAAATATTAAATTCATTTTATGTAATTAAACATGACAACACATTTACTATAAATACTGCAATGTAGCCACCATGTTAAGGTCAAATTATATTTAGCATTTTTTTTTAATCATCTTCTTGTATTCTTATCATCTATCATATGTTATACTTATTTATTAGTTACCTATGTGAATTTCAATTTAACTTGGTACTAGCAAAACGGTAATAAAAATACCATATAAAACGGTCGGAACAATCCACCCCGGTCGTCCCGCCACGTTAACGGAACAGTTGGGAAAAAAATATTCCATGGAACCCGGTAGCCCCGACCTCTTTGTTTAACGGGGTGGTTGGCACAGAGCAAGTATCATCTACCCCGGCGTGTTTTTACCCGACTGCGCAACGCAAGAACGCGAAGTGCGATGCGCAGACAGTGTTTAACAGTCTATATATGTATGTATATGTTCCTTTGCGGCACACTAGAGACCAAACTCGTGGACCAATTTTGATGATTTATTCAAGTCGATCGATTCGTCTTAATGATGGAAGTGCTACTAAAGACATGATAGTAATCGAAATTCATATGGGGACCAAAACCAGGGAAAAATGAGAAAGAACAAAAATAAGTTCATGTAATTTGTTGAGTGGGGTATCTTTGTCTAGATAATCGAAAATCATGTTTAGGTTCCTTACACTATTTTTAATTTTTAATGACTGGGATCTACAACAATTTTAAGTTGTATATTAACCATTTGCGCTTTTAATTTCAACCTTACGTTTGTATGGATCTTTGTAACTCTTTCACCCATAAAGTACTGAATGGATTTTAATGAAACTTTACGATAATAGCTCATACAGAATAATAGCATATAGATAATAATTAATGGAGCTACGTAGTGAATTGGCCAAAATATAGCAATAAGTATCACGAAAGACGGAATAAAATCTTCCATCTGCGAGCCATTGGCCTGCACTGCAAAAACATTAAAACATGAATATGGAAATGTATCTCTTTAATAGTTCTACAAAAATCTCTATTGAGGAAGTAAATAATCAAAGAGTATAACTTTGATGATAAGGTAATTAGTCTATATAAAACGAATTAATTAAATTTGTGTCATCCGAGTCATAACTGGACTGTCAATAGGTAAGAATCTGTGTCAATGAGTTGATTATACAAATCAATAGTTTATGCTGGATGAGATAAGAACGGAAAATCTAGATAGATGCACGGGTGTGATTCTCGACGTAAATTCTACCTGTAGTCAACATTATGGCGAATATATTTTATCGGATAAATATGTATTAGAAAGGTAGTCGGAATTTCGCAGAATTAAAATTATTTGCAATATGGATGTTCGGTCATGCTCAAGAACGCAATGTGCTCTTTACTAGCTATACATATACTTCTGCAAGGTTAGTATGCAGTAAAACGAGTTGTTTTTTTTGTTGTTGTACACATTAATGTATACTTAACTTGCACAAGTATATAGGTACGATTATTAAAAGGTTTTATTTAAACAGTAGCGACCTCAGCAAACGGTTGAATTTCATTAGATTGTTTATTTACAAACTTAATTTTGCATATTTTTTCTCGTGAAAATTTCTACTGTCTTCATGAGCACATTTTATAAACAAATATAAATTACTACCTAAATTGACCAATAGAATCCAAACCGTATGCTGTAAAGTCCACTGCTAATACTAACATGCATTAAAATCCAATGTTATGCCGGCACTTCACTTAGCTGTTCGTGTTTGCTATTTGTATCGTAAACTTGACACCAGTATGTACTTTCCATTCCTCCAAAGTATGGTAAGGGCAAACTAAAGTCAAGTTTACAAGTAGCAAACACGAATAGCTTAGTGAAGTGCCGGCATTACACAGAAAAAAATTGCCGCTCGAAAGTCGGTTTCATGAAGAATGCAATTCCGAAACACCGGTTTTCACAAGTCACAACTATGTTAACCAACTTTTTTTCTACCAAATATAGTATTTTTGGAGCGTTACTTCTAAAAATATAGCTAGCTGGCAAAAAAATATATAGTAGGTTAAAATATTTACTTTATTTTTGAAATTAATATATTTTTGCTGCTCTTTGTTAATATTTTTTAAGAAATCTTTTACTGCCAAATATATGCTTTAAATAAAATATAGTAGTTTCGCCTACTATATATTTTTTTAAGAAATATAGTAGTTAATCCCCTAACATAGTAGGATACTATATTATATAGTAGAGTTGGCAACCCTAGTCACAACCAACCTTCGGAGCAGTAACCTAGGCTAATGCGACCGTCTACAGTCAATAATCAATATCAATGTTTTTGTGTAGTGTTATTCGAAAACGCTAGCAGGCAAAGTATGTTGATACGAACGTGAGGTACCCACAATAAAATTAGATATTGAGACCACACTAACCTTGATACTGTAGAGAGCGACCACCGGTTTGTGGTCACTGACAGTGTAGTGCGGCATATGATTGTAGGACAACAGGTCCACTCTCAGAGTGACATTCTCGTAGTTATTAGCTATCACCTTGTATAGAATTCTGTCGGTCCAAGAGGGTTTCCGTCTAGAAAGATTTATGATTTTTGTAATGGCGGACACATACAATAGCATTGGCCCTTACATTAAAACAAAAAGGGAAGATACGGCACTCGCGGCTCAAAAGTGATCCGCTTAAATTGTGAAGCATGACCACAATTCGCTTTAGACACAATTGGACATCCAAACACGCTGCATGTGCACTCAATAAATTACGTATATTCTGTGTTATAAAGATAAAACAATGCCTTCGATGCTTTTATAAAGAACACAAACAGTTCTTATTAGACCAATTAACAAATGTCACGGCAACACTTTTCATTACGAACTATAAAAAAATGTTTTTCTCAAAACTCAGTTTGCAATGAATGTTAGTTACTGATTCGCCATTTTTTAACGAGAAAAGGACAACAATACAACTCAGCCGTCTGTAGAATTCTGTCTCGCTCGCTCGATTGAATGTTCATTTACAGAAGTGTGCGTGTGTGAGAGTTGTTTATGTAGTTGAAAAGTTGAAGCGTACCATATCTTCCCTATTTATTTTAATCTAAGCATTGGCCAGATTTTTATGGTTTTGTTTTAAAAAGTAAAAGCATCATTGGGTGTTTGTTAACATGGCGTCGAATAGCCATGTTGCCATACCTTATCTATACATAATCCATACGATTTTTATTAGTGTAGTGGGATGAAACGAGGCGACTAATCTATGGTCACAGACTGGCAGTTATTCTTGACATGCTGGCTAGTCAAGACATAATAATAAATATTTGCAACACTCACACCAATTAGCCTAGTCCCAAAGTAGGCTTGTGATATGAGATACTAGGGTAACGGATAGAATACATATACTAATACATTATATAAATTTATTTATATACAGATGTATATTAAATATGACTGGAGTACAAAAGCTCTTTAACATCACACAAACATCTGCCCCAACCGGGATTCGAACCCGGGACCTCTTGAGCAGTCGACACCTTGTAACCCGGCGAACAAACCACTCGGCCACGGAGGTCGTTATCACATGAAGAAGATACGTAACAGATCAAATTTATTGTAATCTACGGAGAGCTTTCGAACCGAAATGTTGTCTACGCACAGAACTTGTTATTATGTTAAGACAAAAGTAATTCAAAATAAACGAGTGTAATTTTTTTTTTCCAGATATGAATTTATTAAAGTACCATAAAACTCACTTGACATCATACTCGTCACCGCCAATAGAGAATTTGTATGTTGGCGGGAAACGGATTTCCGGTTCTACAAACTCAGAAAATGCTTCTCCCGTCTCCATCACAGCCAATAATTGATCATGCTTCAATAGATTAGAATATTTGTCCTTTTCAACTGTGTTCAGCGCTTCCACAATCTCCTCAGCCGTAGGACTGTCATCTGGAGGATGGTCAGTCCGGAAGTTTAAATCGCCAAGCCAAAATACATAGCTAAAAAAAAAAACAAATTCAATTTGACACAATCCCGATAACGACCATATTTTTATTATACATAAGTATATGAACAAAATGTGGCATAAGGGAAATATTTAGGAATAACTAACTTACAGTTCAAGCTCACAATATAAAATATTTTGCTCAGAAAGAGAGATAAGTAAAAATATGTAAAAACATATGGGCATACAAGGCCTGATGATAGTAATCGGCAGCCTTAGCCTCTAGATCTAGACGTTTGCAATACAAAGAAGACGTACTCTTTCAATCGATAAATATCAAAGAATTCAGAAATAGTAATCGACATTCGATGTATCGTCAACTTAACGTATTGTAACTTCGTCATATCGCGTCTTACTCTACGCTACCGCATTAAATAGCTATGTAGGAGCAGGATCCACGACGATTACGATCACAACATCATAATTATATCCTGTCTAACCTATGGGGTTAGGTTAGACAGGATATAATCTACCCTGGAAATCTCCGGGATGTGAGTGTTACATAAAATGCCATACAGCATTAGTATTCAATTATTGTGAACAATAATAATAATAATAAAATCTACTCTTTTCACCAACGAATTAAAAATTATATGGAAGGATTACTCTATAATAAAGACCGCTAAAGCATAGTTCCAAACTCATACAACTAAACTTCAATATTAACACGACACACACACACACAGACAAAACAAAATATTTTTAGGAAAATCAAATATCTGCAAATAAATTCAGATAACCTTTCATTAGGTAAGATATAAATAAACGGAAATCCCAACTAGTCCCATGATCAGCGTGTTGATCGATTTTTTTTTTGCCCCGCCCACTTACTTGATCTCAGTTTGCATTGAACTACTTCTTATCGCAATTCGTATTCTATAATATTTCTAATCCATTGCATTTTACATTATAAAAATCATTAGAAAATCACATCATCAAATGAATTATAATATAAATCAGATATATATATATTTAGAACAATAACATGCTATGAATAATATTTTATTTAAAAAACAATTAACTAGAACATCGTTACTGTGTTTTGCCAGGATTCAAGTTTGTAACTTGGAATTGTAAAATGAGAACAATGGAGGAATTGAATGGATAACGTTAGCAAATCGATAAAAGATAGGTTATAAGGTGAAGAAATGTGTGTCACACCATTAAGCAACGACGTATTTCAATTTTCCATGCCCTTGATGGTTAACTGATTGCAATGTTAACTCTTATGATATGAATGACTTCACACTATCAAAGTAGTAAATCCTATTATCGATAAGGAGACCAATACCCTGATAATTTAGAGATATGGAATTGTACTTCCTTTGATGTTACCTCTTTTGTAAACCTTTGACTCAATATACACATCTGAGGAGACATTGAGTAATTTAATCATAGAAAAAGGTTCTGTATTTGATCAACATTGAAACTGGTGGTCTTTTATTTCCTTAGACTAAGTGCCTCGATTGAAAACAAATCATCAGATCAGTCAATATGAATATTTAACTTCACCTGTAACTAGATCAATATGTAAAGAAATCTTAGAAGTGAAGTAATTTAATCTAGTTCTGGGTTTCCGATTGAACTGTTGCATAGGTATGTAAATCAAGTGACGTCCTTTAGTCCCTTTTTCATGACAACTATCAAATGTTTCTTTTCCCTCCTCTACCCCGTGGAGTTCTGAAAACTTAACTACCCGGGGAAAAGCACTACAGAAGTGTAATTTCGCTGCAGCTTATACCAATACTATACCCTGCTTCTCTTGAATTTAAACATATTTTACTTTAAAAAGTTTTCTGTTATAATCACAGAATCTCGTAAAAGCTTGGACTGAAGTAAAGTTCTTACTCATGATACAGTATATTGGTGGTTTCGCCGGCGTGGTATTCGTGTTGCTTGATGATGGCATTGTAGTCGTTGATACGGTCCGCTAATAGGTGATCGTGTGCAGTCAAGTGGCTGTTCACGAAACACACGGAACAACCGTAGATGTTGAACCTCACGCTCACTGCACCTTTGTTACCCTAAAACAATTACACGAATTTACTTGCAGAAGACTTAAATTGGAGGGAATTTGCAGAGGAATGTTAATGGATAATGTGAGATACGAATACATTACAAAAGAATCAGCCCAGTGATATAAAGATTCGACTAGATTAGACTGTCATAGAAAATTTCAAAAGTGATCCGATACATGTGAGCCACAAAGTAATGAACAAACATGAATGTGGACAGAACTCAAAGGAGAGAAATCGAAAAACAAGGAGTGGATAGGCTTATTAAAGATTATATGATAAAGAAATGAGTGCTTCAGATACGGCAGAGGGCGAGTAATCAAAAATAACACTAAAAAGTTTGAGCAGGGATAATGATGGTAGTATGTACATGTCGTAGGATGATTTGAGAAATCGAATTTTCGCAAAAATGCTATGGATGTTGCGAAAACGCGGATTAGACAGTGGCGATGCCATTTCTCAAAACGTTCGTCGTTGGCTTACTGTAACTATTCTTGTTTTCACAATAGATTGGGTTAGGTTAGTGTTGTGACCAAGGTGCGCAAGCCAAACGAGCAGCATAGCGAGTGTGCACTAGCAGCCGGCGAAATACCAGAAAAAAAATCGTTTACAGAATCATTCAGCACTGTCATCGCCATTGTCTAATTATCGTTATAATTTAAACATTAATAGAATTAATTCGTGTCATCATATCATCGTACGTCATGTACACGTCGTACGTGAAACTGGGGAAAAGGGTTAAAACACTGCAGGAAAATGGGGAATTTCCCTATTTCCTATAGCTTAACGTATATTCCCAATTACGGAGGCGATTCCTATTTAGTCATCGCAATAATAGGCTGCGACTGTATGGTAAAATGACCTAAGCACTGTTTTTATAAACAGCCCTGCAAAATATTACACCTGACTGTATTATAAAATTAATGATTACAAAAAGATAACAATGTCGGCTTTTAAGACATCAGTTATCTCATCACCATCAAATTATCATCAGTGGTCAGTGTAAGTGGAGTACAGATGCGATGACAACTGATGGGTGTAGACCACGTCAGACTTAGAGGTCTGCCTATTCAATCGCCGGCGCCGAATTAAATCTTGTAACCTTTCGTTACATTTCGTTTTTCCATGAGTTACTGTGTCCGAATATTTTTTTGTCAGAGTCGTGAGCAACTGGTCTTTTCGGAGTTTTTTTAATTTGATCAGAAGGTTTTAAAATAAAATCGAACCCTACCCTACCTACACCAACCAAGCTCTTTAAAAAGTTTCCAAAGCAGTTTTAAAGCATGAGTTGAATCTATTAACTTAAAGAGAAATTATAAACCAGACAGTAGTAATGATTTAATTTTGGGCAGCTTAAACAGCATAATTATTTTTTATTATCCAACTACCACTACTCATTAAAAAAAATACTACTATTCATGTAATAAATAAACTTCATATAATACATACAACTGCGTGCAGTGTGCTTTTATCTACAATATCATTGATTAACCAAAGGTAACAATGCAATCAAACTTACCCACATACCACCTAGGCCAGTTTTTGTATACTGTGCCTCAATATCTCTGAGATGCATCACATGCTTCAAATGTGTGTAAACAAGTAGCACCAAGCCCTGCAATCTAGTACTTTTTGCAATGATGAATCCTTGGCGGCAAAGGATTTTATTGAAAGATGAAGTCCATGGATCAGTAAACAGAGAATCCATCAACATGTTTTGGGGCTGAGATTTTACTTCTTGCAAGCTAAAAATTATACCATTACATAACAAATATGTAATTGTAATCATTATAGTAAATTTGTCAAGTGCCTATACTATATAAAACAAGGAATCTGTACATCTCTTTACTTACCCTAATACATAAAAATCTGGTAAGGGTTTATTTTTGTTATATTGTGAAGGAAAATCCAGTAAGGAATTAAGATCCTGTCCAGGTGATTTGGTTGCCACATTCCAAGTCACAAAATAGCACCTGTGTAATTAATAAATGGATTAATTTAATTTCATAAATTTGATGCTTAATAATCCGAAATCAGTGTATTTTCCATTAGTGAGTTTTACTGCAGACAATCCAAAATCTACAGAATCTACCAAATATAAGAAATAATAAAAAGAAAGAACAAGCATTGGTATCTAGATTTAGAAAGGGTGTGATCTGCACCCATTCTTGGTTATGTAGATATTTTACTTTCATAGTGACTTGGCCTTAAATAAATATTGTGTAACTAATGGTCAACTCAACATTAAATATGTTGCATGGTGGTAGAGCTATAGTTTATTCTATTTTTATTTTAAGCATAAACTGAAAAAAGCAATGAAAGCATAATCAATTTTTCACAAAAAAAAACACTCAGTGGAGATGTCAGGGAGGATCTATACACTGTGAATTTTGAGTTACCCGAAAAACTTTACTAGCTTATACAGACAACAATTTAGGTTATACAGAGAAAGATAAAAGCAACATTAATTTATATACCTTGTACTGAATTTACCACCTACACCTACCACCACCTACCTAAATCAATAACCTTTCTACAGGCTATTGATAGTATGGCATTTGGTGAAATTTCAGGCATTCAAAATGCAAACCATCAAACTTAGATAATATGGGTATACTTAGAATTAGTAAGTATTTAACATTATCAAAATACTGAAGTGCAAATATTAAAGCACATATAAATTGGTGAAACTTGTAAAGTTTTTTTAAGAGAATACAATACATACATGTACTTTATTTTCAAGTTAAATACTATAGAAATAAAATTCAGTAACAAATTCAACTATAGCTGGGTAGGTGCTATTGCAAAGTTTTTTTTTAGATATCTGAAATTTTTAGAAATTGTGTTTTAAACAATATGTAGGTCATTTATTTGTTCAACTGATGGGTGCTAGTTGAAATGCCAAGAAAATACAAAATAAATGCCAGGAATAAATCTCGGCAGATCTATTCCCTAAGCTATTTAGTGATCCACTACTGCTTTATTATAACATCACTAAAATTTGTTCTGAAAAGCATCATGGATATGCAATTTTCTCTCTAATTGGAAACTGTTAATGTCAAAATAATTAGGATTGAATGTATACTCTAGGACATACTTTAAATAATCTGTTCATATAACTAAACAGGTATGTAGAACCTAGGGCTAATATTGATTAACAAACATAATAGGTTGTAGATAACAGTCTCTATAGCCTTGACTTTGATGTGTTACTGTACCAAGGTAAGCTAATAAAGGTAAACTAAATAAAAATATATTTATTTATTTTAAGGCCTACATTTTATTCAAACAAATATTTATTACTCACCTTAGAGTATCCATATTTACGTGTAAAAATCCACTAAAGCACTACTTTTTAAATGCAAGGATAGGACGAATATACTCCAGATAAGATTATTGTATACCTACAGATAATTTAGCCTCGAGAATGCATAACGGCGTTCAAATTACAAACATATTTGTTAGCTAATGATAACAAAATATAGTGATTATTAATAAATTGTATATCTACGAAACGCGCACATTATAGCACATCCACAAACTACTAAGGTAAGAGATACAATACGAGATAACACTAGGCTTGTTGAAAATATATCGATAAATTGATATATCGATATTTTTAGCAGACATATTCTGATCGATATATTGATACATCCACAACCAATATCGAATTTCGTATCAGAAACGATATTTTCTTTTAATTATTAGCGTCAAATCACAATTAAAAATCTTAAAATATTGAAAAATAATCTTATCTGGATCTCAGAATAATAATATTCAACATATTTATAAACAGTACTGTCAGTGGCGGACTAAAAGGGGGGCGGAAGGGGCGGCCCGCCCCGGGCCTCCGATTTTGGGGGCCCCCAAATGCCTCCGCGTTCCCCTGATCGCATCCTAGACTAGACTTTAAAAATGTGCTTAGTACCTACGTAATTTCATCAAGATCAAAACACTACAGCCATTTAGACATTTTACGCGGTACTAATATTCTTTTAACTTCGCTGAACGCGTCCAATACGCTGGGGGAATTCCCGTCTCTGTAGCGGGTACTTCCTCAGGTACCCCTGAATAAAATGAAGTACAAATAATTCACTCTTATACACCTACATTTAATAACATTCACTATATTTACGTCGAAAAATAAACATTGGCCTCATTTAAAATCTGTTCAAAGTAACCTCATTAAAAAGTGTAATGCTTTTGATTTTTGTTGCGGTATAAAAGTAAATGACTTTATAAATATAAAGTCCAAATACTTAAAAATGCACTAACTCAAATGAGTTAGTGCATTTTTAAGTATTTGGAAAAAGTAAGTAATTCTTCGTATAATTTAGCCTAGAAATCATAATCCGTAGTTTCTAGTCAATATGCACCTAAGTTTCTAGTCAATATGTACCATATTGTAGGTATGTATGTTTATTAAGCTTAAATAATTTAATTGGAATTTAAATTTCACTCGCCAGATTTTAACGAAACAAACTAAGAAACTACATTTTTTCTTTAAAACTGGGGGGCCTCATTTTGCCGCCCCGGGCCTCTGACGAGCTTAGTCCGCCACTGAGTACTGTATTTAGTATTATCTATAAATTGTAAGTCTGTTTCGCTGGTGAGTTGGTGTTGCTAAATTCTATTAATCTATTCTATGGTAGTGTGTGACTGTCTAGTCTCGTTCACGAAAGATGGCACCTGAGAGGCCCTGCAATCAATTTTGTACTTTGTATGTAGCGGCAAATTGGTACTTTGATTTTGATAGTTCTTTCTTTGTTTGTGTTTTTGTGTTGTAATTACTGTGCTAGGCTGACCTAAATACATTTTTTTTAAAGCGCAAATTTATCGGAATATTGATCCGATATATCGATATTTTTTTTCGCGATAAATCAAAGCTGATTATGACATTTTTTTAAATCTCGATATAATGTTATTTTTTCCACTTTCGACATCCCTAGATAGCGTGTCAATATTTTTTTATTTCTTTACCCATTCTGGGTAGGCAAAGGGTACTGTGCCCATACAGCTAATTCTTTAGCTAATTATTTCAAAAATAAATATGTTCTAAATAATATATGCTGATAAGCTGTATTTCTTTTTTCTTGAGGCCGGAGCCAAGTCTTCTTTTAGATATCTTGTCTTCAAAATACTTCTTCTTCTTTCTTATCATTTTTCTTTTTATTATTGTCTTCTTTTGTGTTTTTTTTTCATCAAGGCCGAAGCCAGGTCGCTTGTATAAAAGTCATTGTCACTCATTGTCACTAGTAGTAATGTCAAGAATATTTTTCATTAAAGTAATATTTTCAAATCATAATCAGGAGTCCTTTTCCTTTATAAAATTAACTAATTCGTGGCTTATTCTCTAGAAACTGGTAAATAGGTTTATAACGACTCTTGTTTGATAAGAGCTGAGGTAGAGAGCGCGGGATATTTGCAGATATTTTATAAATATCTAAAAGTTGGTCTATAAAAATCATTCTTTGTAACGAAAAGGCACTACAATCAAAAAACAGATGATGAAGAGTTTGGCTAATTGATAGACGACTTACTTGTTACTTGTTGTGGGCCCCCGTTTCGTACTTGACTAGTACTTGACTCCGTACTTGGTCCATTGTGCGTGCAGGGTATGTTGGGCTAGCTAGCTCAGCCAGCCCAGCTCCTTCCAGAAACGCAGTAGCCTCCTAGGGCTCTCACAGGCTTCTAGGAGCGTCCTCGGCTTCCTGAGGATTGATGCCCGGTGTTCTGCAATGCTCGTGCATTCCAGGATTACATGAGCGGCCGTTTCATCTGCTTCCAGACATCCTCTGCATAGAGAGCTATTTGTAACGCGTATGGTTAGTAAATGCTTGTTAAGTGGGCAGTGCCCTGTTATGGTGCCTAGCATTACTCGGAGATCATTTCGGTTAAGATTTAGTAGTTTTCTAGTTAGTCTGGGGTTGAGGTTGGGAAAAATATCCTTAGATTGCCAGCAGCCCTCGCCCTATATTCGCCCAACGGGTGTTATGGTTCTGTGTGGTTCGTTGCCGCACCCATGTACGAAACTGATTGAAAGGTAATGGCAGAAGTGGCTCAGGGCCTTCCACTTTCTGTGATGATACCCTTCTAGCTAGTTCGTCGGCTGCGTCATTACCCACAGAACCGCTATGTCCCTTGATCCATTGGAGGATAACCTTGTTATCCGTTGCTATGTACTCCAATGCCTGATGACATTCCTATACTAGCCCAGATGTTTTGCTGTTACTATCTAGGGCTCTTAGGACAGCCGATTGATAGACGACAATAATTACAATCAGAAGACGAGATTAAGTTCAACCTGTGAAGATGGGCATTAAAACGACAGTGTCCTAAACGCAAGCGACAGATGGTTGTATAAAACTTTCGACCATGATAATCCTTTCCCTTGCAGAACCACGGAATACCAATTTTATTATTGATTTCAACATACCATTTGCCTTTCGTCTCAGTAATTCTGGACCAAAGCCTTTTGAAGGTATCCATTATATTATTCTTAAAGTAGTGTAAAAGATCCGTTTCAGGTATAAGAATGGCCTTAAATTCAGAACTGATAATATTATTATGAATACCATTTGTAATAGAAGTGGCTATAAAATCAGCTTTTTCGTTTCCAACAACACCAATATGGGAGGGGGTCCAAAAAAAGATAATATCCCTGACAATATTTGACTGTGTTAATTCATAATGTTTTTCCCTGATTTGATAAATTAAATAGTTAGTTTTAGCATTGAATTTCGGACTCTGTAAAGCTTTTAAAACACTCATACTGTCAGTGATTATTATCCATTTAGGATAATTTTGATGTTCAATGTAGTGAAGAGCCTCCAGAATGGCTGAAGACTCTGTTGTATAAATACTGGCTTTCTCTGATATTAAGTAACCTAAACCTCTCTCTGCTCCTAAATCATAGAAGGCCAAAGAAACTCTTTCATTGCTCTTTGCACCATCAGTGTAGATTTGGCTATACCCTATGAAACTCTGCAAACTTGTGTAAACATCTTCTTTATATTTTAATTTGTGGTCTATGACTACATTTATTGACGAAAATTTACTTAGATATGTATCACTGTAGCAAGGTAGACTCAAGCTCTGAAAGATGTTGTTATTGGATGCCAAAACTTTGATTTCATGTAAGCCATGAGTTAAAAATGTAGAACTGTTTCTGTTAGCAGCTTGCATTAATTTTAAAAGTAGAGGAAGCCTGATGAATGATGAAAGTTTAAGTAGAAATTTATAATGTAGATATTTAAACCTTAAATTGAATGGCAGGATGTTAGCTTCAACTTGCATTGAAATGATAGGGGTTGACATCTATCCCATGGGAGCTATCCCATGATAATGCGCAGACATCTGTTTTGAATCTTATTTAGTTTCTCTACTAGTTGAGGTTTATGTGCAAAACAGAAAAAACCATATTCAAAATGACTCCTAACTAAGCTTTTATACAAAATTAGAAGTAATTTGGGGTCAGATCCCCAATATGTGCCTGCTAATGATTTTATTATGTTACAAGCTTTTATACTTCTATTTATCAAAGTGTCACTATATTTGTCCCATTTAAAATTGCTTTGAAAAGTAACTCCTAGAAATTTTGTTGATTATTCTGTTGAAAGTAAATTACCATTGTAATAAATTTTGATTATTCTGCTGGAGAAGGTGTTGAACCTTACTTTTTTTAAATACTTATATCCAAATTCAGATTATCGAAATATGTATACAGTTTTTTTAATGCATCATTTATTGCATAATTATTATCTTGTATATTGTCACCAGAAGAGTAAACCACTAAATCATCAGCAAATTGAAGGTTGCAAACTTTGTTACCGAGTTCAATGTTTATTCTGTGGGTATATAAAAGAGGACTTAGTATACCGCCTTGACTTACGCCTTTAAAAGAAAATCTAGGCCCAAATAATTGATTATTACATTTAACAAAAATTTGTCTACCATGAAGAAAATGTTTAATCCAGTTAATTATTTTTAAAGGAAGTTGAAAAGAAGCTAGGATCGAAGTCAGTTTATCTAAATTTACATTATTGAAGGCGCTAACTACATCAAGAAGAACAGCAATAAGTACTTTATTACTATGCACAGCATCATCAATGTCTAACTATAAATGACTAAGACTCTCCCGAGCAGAATGGCCCGTCGGAATCCAAACTGATTACTGGGTAAAATATGATTATATTCAATATAGAATTCTAGTCTTTGTTTTAGTAATTGTTCAAATATTTTCCCTACACAAGAACTAAAAGTAATTGGACGATAAGAATCTGCCCTATTTAGATCGGAAGGTCTTTCTACAGTGTCAGGTGTGTATATTTGCATATAAACTCATTTAACCACTCTCCATTTAGGAAACTTTTGGGGGGTGTATATGTTTTATTGAATTTTCTTATTTTCTGCCAAATGACACTCATAGGAACTAAGCGTGATATTGAAGAACAAAACTGTTCCCAAGCAAAACGGCTTTCATGTTTAATAATAAGTTTCTTGGCTGCCTGAGCTCTTTTAAATGCTATGTAATTTTGCAAAGAATAATTTGATTTAAATACTTGGACGCCAACTGTTTGTGCCAATTGTAGTGGGACTTCCATTATTTAAAAGAACCAAATCATTCTGTTCTATGATATCTATTA